TGGAAACAGATTGCCGCATCTTTCTCCTACAGAGTAAATAGTGAGTTCAAACTACCAACCTTTTAATTAGCAGCTGAGCGCTTAACCAAAGCACAACCAGGGATCATTCCCACAAAGATTACAGCCAAGTAAATTCTATAGGGCAATTCTGTCCCACTGTCACAGGGGTCATAACAAGTCAAAAATCAAGTCGATAGCACCTAACAACAATAAACACCAAACCCACTGTCACTGAGTTGATTCCAACTCATAGCAATCCCCTCCAAGGTGGTAAATCTTTACAGTAGATTGCCCAGGCTTGCTTCCAGGGAATGGCTGGGAGGTTTGAGTCACCAACCTTCTGGTTAGCAGTCAGATGCCTCAGACACTGTGCTACCAGAGCTCCTTAACAACAATACCATCTGTTAATATTATCCCTATCATAGCACTCATCACAATAAATTACTGCTTTGCTTATCTAGTCTTCTATAGGTTTCTTACGGGATTTTGGAGGGCTCTCATCTTTGTAACTCAGTGTATGGAACTTAATTAGTGTTCAATAAATATTGAATGAAATGAGGCAAAGGGCTTCGGTTTGTTCATCTGTGAAATGAATGATGTCTAAGGTCTCCTCCAGTTGCAGTTTGTAAGAATTAAAGATAAATAAAAACAAATTCATATATAGAGTAGAATAATTTCTTATAGTATCTGAAGTTGCTTATTCTAAACAAGATTTTCTTTAACATCATTTTGATATGTAACTTTATAGAAAGTGAATTGCTTGTTATGGTTGGAGACATTTCTCTTAAAAGGCATAAAGTGCTCATTATAAATTTAATGCAAGGAAATTTATGATTTCACAAAAAAAACTATAGTTAATAACTATGGACAACTGAGCATTAATTTTTTTTCTTTTTTTTACATTTTGAGACCTAAGAGGTGGTAAAGGTGCCCTGCTGGCCCAATGGTTAAACACTGGCCTGCTAAGTGAAGGCATCAGTTCGAACCCACAAGCACAGTTCCCTGAGAATAAAGACCTGGCCGTTTGCTCTTGTAAACGTTGTTGTTGTTGTTGTTATATGCCGTCAAGTTGCCCCGACTCATAGCGACCCCTCCTTGGGTTTCCCAAAGCAGTATCACTACGGAAGTAGATTGCCCCATCTTCCTCCTGAGGAATGGCTGGTGGGTTTGAACTGCCAGCCTTCTGGTTAGCAGTCAAGTGCCTTAGGCACTATGCTACCAACCTAACACTACAGGGCAATTCTACTCTGTCATATAGGGTCACCTGTGAGTCAATCTCATCTTCCAGATTGGTGCCTGCTACAGTGCTACATAAGGAGCTCTGGTGGCATAGTGCCTAAGGCATTTGACTGCTAACCAGAAGGTTGACAGTTCAAACCTACCAGCTACTCCACAGAAGGAAGACTGGGCAATCTACTTCCATAAAGGTTTACCACCTCAGAAACCCAAAGATTGTGACTATGAGTTGGAATTAACTCAATGGCAGTGAGTTTGGTTTGGTTTTATAGTGCTGGATAAAATAAATAAAAATTCTCACAACTGGACCAATTAAGCAAATATCATGATAAATGGAGAAAAGATTGAAGTTGTCAAGAATTTCATTTCACTTGGATGTACAATCAATCCCCATGGAAGAAGCAGTCAAGGAATCAAAGGATGTATGGCACTGGGCAAATCTGCTGCAATTCCTATTTTAGGTATTTAAAAAAAACAAAGATGTCACTTTGAAGACTAAAGTGTGCTTGACTCAAGCCATGTATTTTCAATTGCCTCATATGCATGTGAAAGCTGGACAGTAAGACTGAAGAACTGATGCATTCGAATTATACTATTGGCAAAGTACACTGAATATACCATGGACTGCCAGAACAATCAACAAATCTTTCTCGGAAGTATTTCGGACATATTATCAGGAGGAACCAGTACCTGGGAAGGATATCATGCTTGGAAAAGTAGATGGTCAGTAAAAAGAAGAAAACCCTTAAGGAAATGGATTGACACAGCGGCTGCAACAATGGGCTCAAACATAGCAATGATTGTGGGGATGGCACAGGACCAGGCAGTTTCCTTCTGCTGTACCTAGGGCCACTGAAGTTGGAACCGACTCCATAGCACCTAACAACATGAGCTGGAATCAACTCGACGGCACACATGTGGTAGTAGGTGGGTGCTCCCTAGTTTAGAGTCACTTTGCTAAGAGAGGGAGCCCTGGTGGTACAGTGGTTAAGTGCTCAGCTGCTAACCAAATGATTTGTGATTTAAGTCCACCAGCACTCAGAAGATGTGGCAGTCTGCTTCCATAAAGATAACAGTTTTAGAAACCCTACGGGCCAATTCTACTTTGCCCTATTATAGGGTCACTAAGAATCAGAATTGACTCAACAGCATCAGGTTGTTTTCTGGTTTTGCTAAGAGACTCCTCAGGCCAATATAGAATGCATATTAAAAGACATGAATAAGGTCCATTCTCAGCTTCTGGCCCGATTCCACTTTCAATCTAAACTAACTAACCATCACTGCAATAGTGATGTACAAAAACTGAAGATTTAGCTTTGGTGTTATGATTTTTTTATTAGTCTTTAAAGCAATGGTATTCAACATTTTGGTAAATCGTTTCAAATAACACAATAAAATCTTTTTGTGAAGATTTATTAACTGGGAAGGTACCACTTTCCTGCCTGATGATTTCTCAACCATTTCTTGTAGTAACAGATGACTAGGCTACTCAACCAAACAATTTGACTTCACATATTTATTTGGAACGTTTTACTTAGTCACAACACAGTTAAGTCATTTAGATATATTAATCGTATACATTAATGGTAAAATCACTTGATAATCAGGCAACTGTATACAGTACTCCACACACAAAAGTATATCATATTAAGAGAAAACAGTTCTGGATCTTATTCTGTAATATACAATTCCACTGATCTTGAATCCATTAAAAAATGCCAAAGAAAAATCTCAAAATATTAAAAGTCCATTCCATAAATCCCTGGCAAAATTTGCCCAGTGGCGTGACCAACAGGCAAAAGTGACAGAAGATCTGCTATCCTGCAAAAAAAATCTCTTTTGAGACACTTATATGTACATAACCTCAAAAAAATCTGGTAAGATTTTTAAAAGTTTAATGAAAACATTTTCGCTCTAGTATCTTTTTATTAAATGCCACTGTAATATGACTAGTGAGTATATATGAATTCAAAGGCGTGTTGCAAGTACATGCTACAAGTATGGTAAGGTCAGAAGTCTCCTCCTCCTAAAGTTTCTGAAAACACGAAGTTGTTTTGATATGGTGCAAAACAAAACAAAAACCAAACTCACTGCTGAGTAGGTTCCAACTCATTGTGACCTCTCCTTGGGTTTCCGAGGCAGCATCTCTAGGGAAGCAGATTGCCCAATCTTCCTTAAGATGAGTGGCTGGTGCATTTGAACTGCCAGCTGTCTGGAATCAAGTGTCCAGCAATCTGGGAGATTCATAAGCATTTCAAAACTAAAAACCAAAAACCAAACTCACTGCCGTAGAGTTGAATCCGACTCATAGCTATCTCTCCTTGGGTTTCCTAGGCAGTATCACTAGATGGATGTTAATGCAAACGTTGTTTTTTACGCGTGAAGTTGCTCTCGCTGGGGCAGAAAGCTGGTTCTTCCTAACGTTGATTATATAATGCAAGACTTCAAAAATAACTGCTTTGCAGATGTCACTAGAAGTGGCTCCCACGCTCTAGGCCCACTACTTTAGCAAGGTGGTCCAGAAAAGTTGAAGTCTTCTGAGAAAGACCACAGGAGAATATTTAACTATGAAAAGCTTTAGGAAAAAAAATGATTATGCTTCGTACCTTGGGGTCTAAAATGAGCACAAACTGCTTAAACTCCTAAACGTGCCCAATTAATCTAGCCCAGGCCGCCCCGCCTGTTTACACACTTAATGAATTACAAAACTGAGTTACTCAAAAGCAACAACTCAAGAAGACTCAAAAAATAACATGTTAACAAGGAAAACTCGACAGCTCAGTGCAAACTCTCCACCACACCACCGCCCGCACCGCATTCCCACATTGTTGTAAGGTAGGCACTCACCCACCGCTCGACCCGGAAACCCAGACCTGGGGGGTTTCAAATTCGGAAGCGTAGCAGACACGCTCGCTCTCACCGCGGGGATGTTAATCCCCACCTCAGAGCCACCCGTGCACTCTGGGCGCTGCCATTTTGATAAGAAACCAAGCCCTGCCCCGGAAGCCCCTTGTCCTGTCGCCCTAAGCCGAGCCAGCATGCCAGATAGACATTGGCCCTTCGCCTCCACGCGCCTCGCGCCCCATCACCTGCCACCTGCGCGGTGAGAACCCTGCACCCCTAGGCCGCTGAACAAGTTGGGCCAAAACGGGACGACCCACAGCTCCCTGCACCCCCTAACAGGCAGCGCCAAGGGCGGCCGCAGCTGGCGCAGGCGGGACACCCGCGCGGAGCGCTCTGTAACCCAGACAACGTGGCACCCAGCCTATCCGAGGCGCTGCGGGGCAACGCGCCCTTAGACACTAATGTCTGCTTCTGGAGCCCGAGCAGTTCGCAGAGACGCTCCGTGACGGAGCTGCAGCCCTCAACCCCAACCACCGACCCCGTCCCAGAAATGGGGGGCTAGGTGCAGAGAAGACCTCAACTCCTCAGTCCGGCCCAGTCAGTTAGAGGCCCCTCCCTCCCGCGTCCCGCCCCTACCGCCCTGAGCCCGCCGCGCCGCACCGCCCCCTCCGCCTTAGCTGCCCTGAACCCTGCCTGCATGGTTTTCCTAAGGCTGCGCGGGGCTCCTGGGAGCTTTCCAGAGGCGGGGCGAGGACTCAGGACTCGCGCAGACTGATCCTAAGTCTGGGACCCCTCCAGTAAGACAGAGCAGTGCGTTTTTGTCTACTCGCGGTGGTTTCTGTTTTTGTATAGGCTGAAATTTTGTGAGTTAAATTAGGGACCTCCGCGAAAAGGACCCATTTATTTTTTTTCTCTCCAAAATGGCAGCCTCCAGCCGCGCACAAGTGTTAGATCTTTACCGGGCGATGCTGAGAGAAAGCAAGCATTTCAGCGCCTACAATTACAGGTGACCCAATCGGGTGGCTACAGGGGCCGGGAGGAGCCAGGCGCGGGCTGCCGAAGAAGGTCCCAGGGACAGGGAGCCCGCCCACCCGGCCGCAGCAGCTGGAAGGGCTACTCCAGCCTAGTGCGTAAGCCGGCAGAGGGGGGTGGGCCCTGGAAACCTCGCGCTAAGGAGCTGTGGGTTTGCACTTCTATCAGGGAACACATTCACTTCTTGTGATGTTTCTTCCCAACCGGATAGTTTGGTTTGTGTGTTTAGCGCACGGTTGGTGGTGTTTCAGTCGTTGAAAGGATGGATGTGAAAGCTGCAAGTGATAAAGCTACTAACAGTTTCTTGCATATATAGAACTTCCCCTGGCATTTGGAAGCGTTGACAATTGGGACGTGACGGCACATGTCCACAAAGCTGAAGTCTATCTAACTCTACCACCCTTTCATTTCACACGTGTTAGTTAACTCTTTTGGTTACTAGAATCAGTTCTGTTCTACTTAGGAAATGGGGTCGGACGGCGAGCGCGGGAACGTTGACATAAAAATGATGCACAAATAGTGGTTAGGGAAACAGGGTTCCTGGAGCAGAAACGTTCGCTTATACTGGCCTCATCCGACCTGCATCCAGTTTATGGAACCTTACCAGCAGGAACAGACTCCAACTCTAGTAAGCCATCCTTAGTGAAGTACTTTTCCATGCCTGCACCATTCTCACATTTGCTCCTGAGTCCTTCATTCTTACTCTTTATATAGCTTTACTTCAGAGCCTCTTATATCTTCTGACCCACCATTACTGTATATATCTTATGGCTTTTCCCTGCATGCTTTCAAATTTGGCGTCTTCTACTAGCTGCCTCGGAAACCCAAGGAGGGGGGTCGCTATGAGTCGGGTCGGACTCAACGGCACATAACAGTAACAACAACTAGTTGCCCGATTATGAGTTTGAGCCATATTTCCGAGAGCAGGAATTTGACTGGGCCAGCTCATCTTTTTACACCAGATCTCATTTTAGGTGACTGGCCAGCCCATGGATTTAATGTTATAGGACCTGTTGCCTACCCCTGGAACAAACTGGTTAGCTAGGCTTTACCTGCGGCTGGGTATGTGAGCATGCCGGCCCTGTTATTGATAGGTCCAGTTCCACAACGTGTTGTTGTTGTTGTTGTTATGTGCCGTCGAGTCAGCCCTGACTCATAGCGACCCCTCCTTGGGTTTCCGAGGCAGTATCACTACGGAAGTAGGATTGCCCAACCTTCCTTCCGAGGAGTGGCTGGTCCACAACGTGTAGCAGACAGGAATACCAAGCCTTTCAAACAGAGACTGTGTTAATTTTTAGAAACCTGCATAGAAAAGGCACTTTGCCTATGAATTTGAGAACAACATTCAGGACACGGCTAGGAAGTCATATCCACCTGGCTGACTAGTTAAAAGAAACAAATCATGAGAAAGTGTTATTTTACTTAATGACTTTGAAGGTAAAGGAAATAAAGGTATACTGGAAGAATTTCTGACAAAAATTAATACCAAATGCTTAACCAAGTCTATCAAGGTAATACACAAAACTATACAAGTAAGTGGAAACCATTCATTTTCCCCACATTCTAGAAGATATTACTTTGTTATTTAAATTTACCCAGAATAAATGGGATAAGTATCAGCACACAGTTAACACAGTGAAGCAATAGTGGAAGGAGAGGGTACGTCTGAGAGCTCATAGTAGAAAAGTCAAGTAGGAGCACTCAGTGAGTATCTAGCCTTAGACCAGTCACACATTCTCTGTATTTCAGTTTTTCTGTTTGTAAAATTAGACTGTCAGACTACATCTTTTCTAACGACCCTTCCATTTCTGAAATTCCATTTGGAAATGATTTATGAGCCAGATAGTGAAACCTAAAAATGAAGCTAAGTTTTCTCAAGTGAATAAATGCTAGGTCAACAAGGTAAACTGCAGGATGATCTTTCAAGGCCATACCTAGTAGGCAGAAAATTGGAAATGAGTTTCAATGTGAACAGCTATAAGGTAACAAACATTTAGAAAACTGTTGTTGAAATTGTACTTGGAGCCTTTAAGCCAAATTTGTTACCTAAGTATAAATATATTCAAAGGAAGCTGGTAATCATTTTCTACTGTTTCCTGAAATTGTGAACCTGAAATCCAAGATTTCTGCTAGTAGCATCTCCTGAGGTAATACATTTACATAAAATAGATATTTTTTATGTTAAGGCTACATCTTGTGGATTTCAAGGATAGCCTCTTCCTTTTCAATCTTTGCAGATATTTGTGGCTGATGAGAACTCAGTAATGATAATATCCTCTGATCCCTTCTGTGTGTCACTACTGTTTTATGTGCTTTACATCAATTATGGCATTTATTTTTGACAACAACCCTGTGAAGTAGGTACAATTTTCATGGCCCACTGAGGAAACAGACACAGGTAACTTATCAAAAGTCACACAATTGGCACTGGATAAACAATGAAAAGTAGATAGTAAATTTTGAAACCACCTGAAAACTGGAATGCCTGAAATAGTAAAGAGATCAATATTGTGGAATTACCTTGAGATATACACACCACACACAGATCACATTGTAATAGTATGGGCCCTTTCTATTTCTCCAGTCTCTAACCCAACAAGCCCTACACATTGTAATATTTGCACTTTCTTAGATGTACCATGTTCTCTTGGACTTCAGTGATGACTTTGCAAGTGATGACTTTCTTCTTTTTATGGCAGGTCCTTTATCTCCCTTGTCCAGAGTTCCTCCTTTTCCTTTGAGATTCAGCTCATTCATGACCTATAGACAAAATTTTCCTGATTCTCTTCATTCCACGGCTTCCTTCCTGCCCTGATCCCTATCACTCAAACATATCCCATTCTGTATTCTTTTGCCTCAGTGCTGACAAAAAAATCCTGAATCTGCTTTACCAAATACTATATAAGACCTGGGGATAGAAAGAGGAGAGCTTTGGATTCATCAAGGCATCTGCCATCAATGGCTTTTGAAGTCTTGTGTGGGACACAGTTACAGAGATAATTTCCACAGACTGGGGAAACTGTCCTGACAGAGGTATGCATAGGGTGTAGAATCAAAAAGGGCCCCAAAAGGATGACACTGTACTCTTTTACTCACTTAAATATTATTGAGAGGCCCAAAGAACTTTTGTTTAGGTGAGGCATATCAATATTTATCATGTTAAGACTTGTTTTAAAAAAATAAGTGAATAATCTCATTACATGTTAACATAAATAAAATTTTTATGAAGAATTATTTTTCTTCCAAAATAATTAGTGAAAAAAGTGACATTGCATTTCTGTAAATTTCTTTAATTTCAGCTCTATATTAAATGTCTGCATTGTTAATTTGTTTCTTCCTACCGTCTGTTGCTTCTAAGAAACTCCACTGTAGACTCATAAAAGAATGAGTGAAAAAGGCAGATGTCATCTTGGAACTGTGAAAATAGTTTTACTTCATGGGTCCTTGAAAGGTCTGAGATCATAGTGGCCTCTGTCCACGCTTTGATAATAAATAATCTAGGGCACAGGAAGAGAACAAGCCAAGTAAGAAGGTGGCTGTAATCAGTAAGGTCACTTGCCTTCATAGTTACAATAAATAAAAAATTACAATAAATAAAAAAGTGGTCCCTGGATTTGACAATATGAATATCTCTGTGAGCTTTACCAGAGCCATTTTCTTGGAATAGTGAAGATTGTGGAGGATTGAGATGTGACTTGAAATTAAGTAAATTGATAGAATGAGTGTATAAGCCCCTCACCCCTCCTGCTTCAGATGCTGTATAAGAAAGCAAGGTGGTGCATTTGGAGTTAGACAAAGGGAGGGACACTTGATTTTCCTTCGGCGGAGTAGAGAAGGCGAAAATAAATTGGAATATAAATAAAAAGGATGGAAAGTTGAAGTGGTAGATGCCAGGCCTGACAGCCGGTTTCTGGATGAAGCAGTAGAGAAGTTGGTGGTGAGGAAGAAGCACCCTGTCCTTAAGTTTATTATTGGCTGCACACACTGTTGTAATTGTCGGTTTTCTTGTTTCTCTGTCATTTGTTCCTTGAAGCCAGAAACTCTTATCTCTATATTACTAGTGTATAGCACAATAACTATCTAGTATATGTTTGCAAATATAAATATTTGTTGATGAAAAGCAAGAGAAAATTGTAGTCATATGTAATTTTCATCAGCCATTCCTGTCAATTAAAATATTACTGAAACATACGGTAAAAGCCTAAAGTAATGCCCAAATGGTTACCAAATTAAGTCTCAGAATTCCTTAATTCCTCATCAGATAATTGAGTCTTTTTTGTACTTATTATATGATAAGCACTGTGGTAGGAGCTGCAGATCATTACCCTCCCATTAGAAGTAGGGAGTAATAAGTACCATAAGAAATTTATCAGTAAAGTACAAAGGAGAAATGGCTGTATGGAGGAGAGCTGGTCTCTAAATGCCACCTTAAAAAACAGGTATCATTAGGAATGCTTTTGACTACAAGTAGTAGGAAACCCTTATATAGTAGCTTAAGTAAATAGAAGCCACTCCTCGGAAGGAAGATTGGGCAATCCTACTTCCGTAGTGATACTGCCTGTGATACTGCCTCGGAAACCCAAGGAGGGGTCGCTATGAGTCAGGGCTGACTCGACGGCACATAAAACAAAAACAACAAGTAAATAGAGAATTTATTCTCACATAGAAAAGGACTAGAGGCATGCAGCTGCTAGAGCTGTTTTAGCAACTAGATGATGTAAAGGTGCCATGTGAATTTCCAGTTTTCCCTTTCATGCTTAGGCCTGATCATTCCAAGCAGTTATTGAAACTCCAAATATCATATCATTATTCAAGCCAGGAAGAAAGAAGGACAAGTCTAACCAGAAAAGAGCAAACTTTCTTGGAAGTTTTATGTCATCTCATTTGTCACAGCTCTGTTACATTTCCACCACTAGCTAGGCAAGAGACCAAAAAATTAGGCTGTATAACTTTTGCAGCCTCTGTAATAGAAGG